GACAATAGTCTTTGTATTCAATAGTATGTTCTGAGACATAGCATTAACATTCATAACAAAAATGCTGTCAATCTTACAATATATATATATATATAGCAATCTATTTTCTTCATACAACAGGCACAAGACTTTTATCAATAAGGAATTACAGAATGTGAAATGATGGCATAATAGACGTATTATATATAGTTCAAAATGCTATCCTGTTAAAAAAAAATCATTTCCACAGCACCCAGCTCAATTGTGTTCTAAGAAACATCAAGAAAAAGGTATAGTCGAAATTGGTGTACTGAGAGAGACAAGGTGGCAAATTCCTTTTTCAAAAGTTTACACACAATTTTTTAACCCCTAGAATTTAATATTTATAGAGACAGGTATAAATATGTGTATGTGTTATTCGACATAACAAAATGGTTTGCAGCTATTTGGATCTAATGATTATATCTTTCTTATACCTATATAATACCACCTGAATCATTCGGCTTTAAAAAATGTGGTCAAAATTGATTGCTGTCCTTTTTTCTTATTTTTGTTTCTTGTAACCCCATTGGTCCAGTAGCATAGGCCAAATTCTAGAGATGTTTATAGGGCATATGAAATACTGATAATTTCATCATGAAAAGCTTATTTTAGCTTTTGTTTAGACCCTAGTGTACTCAGTGAATAAATAGAAAAAATTATAACCAATATTTTACTTCAAAAGCCAAATAAGAGAAAGGCAGTAAGAAAAAACACTTGGTGTTGTAGCACTTATGTGTACATTAAAATTAGTTTCTTTAAAATGTGCAATAAGTTGAGTATCCAAGAAGAGCATCAAGTTCTGAAGTTAAATTCTTTATTCTCTTCCTCTGTTCTCAGTAACTTCATTCTGTGACAAAACGACACTTCAGGATTTTTTTTGTTTAGGCTCAGGAAAACATTTTCCTAATTTTTCTTCAGGTTAATATTTTAACTTCTTGTCATAAATATTTATAGCCCTCAGAAGCAATTTCTGCAAATGTAGCTAAGCTTAGGAACATGTTGTCCTGAGATATATCTTAGAATCCTGAAAGTATACCTTTCAAAAGGTTATTAATGAAAAGTCAGAATAGTTATTCTGGCTACATTTGCCTTTGACTAAGAGACTGTGAAACACTAGCAAAATTACAGTCAACTGTTTATGCCAAGATAAATGTAAAGTCAAGGAATGAGTGCTAAATTACAAAAATTGAAAGTGATATAAAAGAGCCTGCTTTTGTTCCTCCCTTACCAATTTAGCTATCTTAAGCAGCCTTTGGTTTTAAGAAGAGCCATGTAGTTTGGGCAAAATAATGCTGTATTCCATATGTACCTATGAAAGCACTTTTTTTAATTGACTGAAATATAAATAAGATGTACCTATATCTGGTATAAGTATAGATATAATATGACTACACTAGAATAGGTGACATTTGTTTGTATTTCAGACTTGTCAGTATCATTTTTGTACTCTCTGTTACCAATGTTAGGCTCAACTGCCTATTCATTGATATGATATTTTGTAAATATTGTACAATTTTATCATTTTTATGGTTTAAATTGGTATTTATAAATAAGTTGATTGGCTGATCACAAAAATAATTTCATCATTAAACCCTGAAAACTTAACATTTTGTGTTGGGTAACCCCCCTTTGGGGTTTTAGTCCTCCCCACTTGTGTGTTCTTTTCATTTGGTCTAAATAGTGTTTTATTTCTATAAGTATCTTCTAAGACTGGGAAGGTAGTTATTTTCTTTATTTTCCTTTTTAGAGCAGATGTTTTGGGTTCTTATTACTCAAGGAGTCAAAAACTATTTCATGAAAAAGAGCAGGGTTACTCATGACTGTTTCTTATACACTGAAAGCATATATCTAATCTAATAGTCTTCTTATGCTTTTAGTTGTATGAGTTCCTCTCTGTGAACTGAACACAAAACTCAGGAATTGGTGGCTTAGTTTTTAGATTGGTGGTTATACTAGGCTTAGTATGTGAATCCTTTAAAACACATAATTAACTTTGTATGTAGCCATATATGTATTTGACTTTGAATGTTCCCTACCTGAGATTACTATTCCTTCAAACATGGATTCATAAAAACTGTGTTTTACAGTTCCCACTTGTCTGAGAGCCTCATGATGGTTTCTAGGATTTAAGATCTTATGACCACTTTTTTTTTAAATTGATCAAAAATGTTATTTTTTCATATGAAAATTTAGATGAGTAATAATTATTGACATGTGCATTTGTTTTAGTTATTAAATGTACTATGCCTTCAATTATCCACCATTTAGTGAGGTGTAGCTGGCCCAGGAACAGATAATAAATAGGGCATGTGAAATAAGTTTCAGCAATAGATATTTCACTTGTATTTCATGTCAGTACTTTTTTGTATCACTTATAAAGGTACAGTGTAATCTTTGTCACCATTCCATTGAAAAAGTTGGCCTTGTAAAATACAACACTCATTTAGTATTCACGCTTTTGTGCCTTTAAGAAAATACTTTTTGTTATTTTTGTGTTACAGAACTACAATATGATTCTAAGTGTTTATAGGCTTAATTGCCATAAAGGGTCATTTCTCTGTGTCATTTTATTTCCTTTTATATAGCTATAGTATATTTAAACAGTAATGCTGTACTTTTATAAGGGTTTGTCTATTTAACTATTTCAAGTATATTCTTCACTCTCAGACATCATTGAAGTAGATTTGTCACATTATTCTGAGTATTGTAAACAGTGCCTTTTTGATGGAATTCACACTGTTTTGGGTGTCAACTTGTGCCATATTACACATAAAATTCTGTGGAAGGCAATTTTAACTTTTTGAAGAATATCTTAGTCAAATATTTAAGAAAACAAATGTATAAAATTCCATTTTTTCCAGTGTTTGGCATTTCTAATGAGCAATGAATATATTTTGGGTTTTTTTTTTTTTTGGTTGATATACAGTGATGCTGGCAATATTGATGAGCCATCTGTGAAGCTATAGATTTTGAATTGTTAAATGTACAGAAATAAAATACTAATATTAGCATTTATACCAAATTTTCCAATTTGAACCAGTAAGGGGTAACATCGCACAAATCACTGAGTTTACATTTCAGCTTCTATCTCATTTGACTACATGGATAAAGAAATTCTTTAAAATGTATAACCTGCCACTGTTATGTAATTTGGATTTATGTAATTTGACTTCATTGTATAGTGTGTGAATTTAGTATATTTAAGTTACTTTTTGTTACCCTTTAACATACTGTTTGGTTACAGTTTTTAATTGAAGATGGACTGTTAAAATTGTATAGGACCAGTGTCTCCTTAATATGATTAACATATTTAGAAGAGCCACAAGAAACCCGTGACAAAATGAATGTGAATATACTTTCTAAAGTGTTTAGAAAATTTTATCTTTTTGCATTTATCATGTAAAATTATTTTAGTATTACTAAATATTGGTTTGTTTAAAGAAAAATGCCATGAAACATTTGAATTGATGAGCCACAGAACTTCAGTTGAAAATTTTTTCACTTTGTAGCATGCTAAATATACATCTAAGTTAAATATCCTGTTTAATGGCCATTTATAAATTCAGACACTTACCACTGGTCAGTTTTGTATAATAGAATAAAAAGTGTGTTATCTGCAGTGTAAGTACAGCACACTGTCAAATCCTTTCCCTAAGGTGCATAGTAGATGTACAGATAGTCATAGGCAACTGTTTTGTAATGTATTACATTTCTAATCTATTATTCCTAACCTATTATAAATGTTTGCAGAGACAACAAGAACTGAATTTTTCTAACCTGTAAAATTATGCTGACTTGTACAGGTAGGCATTCTGAATAAAATTCTTAAAAAGAGCAAACTGATCAAATGACTTTGAATATAACATACAGTGACTAAATTACTTCATCCTAATTTTTAAATTTAAAAAAAATCTTTCTTTTGGGGGTAGTTGTGCAGGATGGTGAAGTATCGGGAAGGGATTTAATAGCTAGAACCCCTAATGTATGCTTTCCTTGAAGCTTTATATTAATTATTCTTAACTACTCATAATAACCTTAAGCTAAGTGGAAGTTAGCCCGACTATAAAGATGAAGAATCTGAGACACAGAGAAGTAACATGATTCCAAAAGCTTCACAGTAAGAGTGATAGCAAGCACACATTTGAGTCCATGTCTGATTTCAATATCCACTCTCCTTCCACTGTACACTTAAACCAGAACTCTGATGGTAACGCTTATTTTAAATGTTTAGAATAATCCACTGCTTCAATAAATATACTATAGCTATATCCACTGCTGGTTTGTGATGGGTAGAACCAGAAAAAACCTTACTATTAAACAAGTATATATACAAAACCTATATAAAAGTCCCCCTCCCCCCCAACACACACACACACACCTCAAATCACTTGCTAGTCCATACTGGGTCAACATGAGGGGAGTTCCAAATCATTCCTGTCTCCTTCTGCTCTCTTTTCCTTTGCTCTTCTCCCCTTCCATTCTGGTTCTCTCCTCAAGGTCCAATTGCTTCTGGCTAAAAGTTGGTTCTGTCTAATAAATAGGGGGGGTCGGGGAGGGGGGTGGAAAGAAGGGCTTACAGAATTCCCCTAGCCAATGGATAGGAATAAGAGGTAAGGAAAACAGACCCTCATTCTTCAACCTCAATGAAAAAGCGGCAAGATAATTTTCTTAGTAATATGGACTGCACTCTAATAGGTGACCTGTGTTGTGCTATCATCCTAATTGGCTTTCTGCAATTTAACAAAATATCCTTTTCTTGTAGAGAAAGTGGGTCAATACGCGAGTGAATATCACAGTTATTTGGGGGGTGGGGATACTGTAAGTAATTGCTGAGTGCTTAATATATGCCAGACACCATGCAAAAAAAGCTCTTTGCAAACATTCTCACTCTGCAAAACCTTGTGAGGTTTTCTTTTACATACTAACATCTTTTTTTTTTTTTTTTAATGAGAAAACTGGAGACAGAAGAGGTTACTTACTGAATGTCACAGATAATTGTCAGCAAACGCAGGGGTATGTTTTTTCTGCGTAACTGTTTTCTTCTGCAGTTGTATGCAACAATCTTAGGCCACTGTGCTTTTAAAGCGTACTAATGATCACTAGTGTAGCTAAGTCTTCCCATCTAACCCCCCTGCTAAAGAAAAAGTTGTGGTGGCTGGGGGACTCCTAATGATACCCAGGCCCAAGAAATCTGGCAAAGCCCCCTGCGGAAAGCATAAAGCCCGCAGCTCGTGACGTGAAAGCCAGGCCTTTCCCCATCTGCATCCCGAGACGGCCTCTGTGATGGGAAGAGCAACTGATGCTACCGTGGGCAGAGTATTCATGAGTCCAACGCGGACGTTCCGTCAGGGGTGGAGCCCGAGCCCAGGTCCACCCGCGGTGCCCATTCCGTCTCCTCCACCTACGCTCCCCTGGCGTGCCGACTTCCCGAGAGGAAGGTCGTTTCCTGGGAGACCGAGAGACTGGGTGGCTGCTGAAGCCACTGCAGGGAACGGATCTACCCAGGGAGCTGGGGGAGGGCCGGCGGTTTCCGCTCCGGGAACTCCAAGAAACAGCTAGCTCCCAGGAAGTCCTGCCCTCCTTCCTAGCTTCGCGCGCTAGTGGAACGCTAGTACCAGGTGGTCGGACAGCCGGCTATCCCGCGAGCGGAGCGGGCTAGACCGCGAGCGAGCAGTGCGGGAGTAGGCCGAGGGCGCCCAGCGGGCGGCCCCCTCCCGCCCCTTCCGCTTCCGCCGGGCTCGCCCAGCTCCTTCCTGGCGGTACTCGCGCTCGGCCGCCTGCAGCCGGTAGCTATGCGGGCCTCACGCCCTGTGACAGCCGCGGGGTCTGCGAAGGCGGCGTTGCAGGTGGCGGAAGTGCTGGAGGCCATCGTGAGCTGCTGCGTGGGGCCCGAGGGACGGCAGGTTCTGTGTACGAAGCCCACCGGCGAGGTGCTGATCAGCCGAGACGGAGGCTGCCTCCTGGGGGCGCTACACTTAGAGCATCCCATAGCCAGGTACCCGTGTCTCACGTTCCAGCACCTTATAGCGTCCTTTCGCCAGGTACTGTTGTCCCACTCTCCTGCCCACAGACGGGCACCTCAGACTGTCTCCCTGACCCTTCCTTACTCTGTGCTACTGGAAATACAGACTTGAGTGAAACTATGCTCAGGGTTCTAGCGGTGTGCAATGGAATGTTCTTTGGGACATCAAATCTTACCAGACTCCCAAGAACTTTGATTCCCCCTTCTCCACCTAACCCCAGAATCTTGAAATAGAACAAAGTAACTTGAAAAAAGGAAAAAGTAAAACGAAAGACATCAAAAGGACAGTATGCCAGCTTGTAAGAAGGCAACCCTCTGAAATTAGTTGCTTTATTTCTTTTTTTGTACAGGATGGTGGTGGCCTGTGTTTCCAGTCATCTAAGAAAAACAGGAGATGGTTCTAAAACATTTATTATCTTTCTTTGCCATTTACTCAGAGGACTTCATGCAATGACCGACAAAGAACACGATTCTTTGATTTCCCAGAATATTCAAACCCATGGACGGCGTTGGAAAAATTCTTGTCAGTGGAAATTTATTTCTCAGGCTCTTCTGAAGTTTCAGACACAAGTATTAGATTTTATTATGGGCCACTACTTAAGTCAACACTTTTTGTCGGTCTTTTCCTCCGCTAAAGAGAGAACATTGTGTAGAAGCTCTTTAGAGTTGCTCTTAGAAGCATACTTTTGTGGAAGAGTGGGAAGAAATCATCACAACTTTATTTCACAGTTGATGTGTGACTACTTTTTCAAGTGTATGGCTTGTGAAAGTAGGTGTGAAGAAGTATTTGAGTTAGTGGATGACTATTTTGTAGAGTTGAGTATCGGTGTCACTGGCCTTCCTGTCTCAGATTCCAGGATCATAGCTGGGCTTGTGCTTCACAGAGACTTTTCTGTATACTGTCCAGCAGATGGTGACATAAGACTAGTGATAGTAACCGAAACCGTTCAGCCCCCCCTTTCAACTTCTGGATCAGAGTTTATTCTAAATTCCGAAGCACAATTTCGGACATCTCAGTTTTGGATTATGGAAAGGACAAAAGCAATCATGAAACATTTACAGAGTCAGAATGTAAAATTGCTCCTGTCGAGTGTGAAACAGCCAGACTTAGTTCTTTATTATGCAAGACTGAATGGCATATCTGTGGTGGAGTGTTTATCCTCCGAAGAAGTCTCGCTTATCCAGAGGGCTGTTGGGCTTTCTCCCTTTGTGTTACCGCATGCCTCTTCACAGCATGAAATCTGTAACACTGCTCTGATGAAATTTTGTAAGCCCCTTATCTTTAGGTCCAAAAGGTATGTTCATCTTGGCTTGATTGGCACATGTTCCTTTGTACCGCACTGCATAGTTCTTTGTGCACCAGTGCAGGGTCTTGTGGAACAACATAAAAATGCTTTATGTGGAGCATTTAAAATGCTTCGGCAGTTATTTAAAGACCTTGATCTAAATTACGTGATACAAGCCAGTGATCAAAATCATACTTCAAGTCCTCTTACTCATAGGAATAGCAGGGAAAGTAATCCATTGCCAGAAATTGTTAACGGCTCCACACAAAGCCCATATCAGGGCACAGTCGTAAAAAACAAAGGTAAGGTGGCAACAACTGAAGCATATTTAAAAGTATATTCAAATTTGGTAGTTCCAAGTATAGAATTAGAAACATATACTCCATGGTCAACACCAAAAGTGACACCAACAGATACAGACCAGGCAGATGAAACACTGAGATGTTTATCTCCAGCCAAACCCAGGATAACTGATGACAATGAACCATTTATTGAGAGTGATTCTGCTAATTCAACAACAGAAAACACTGGAATAGAAATTGCTTATGAAAATTTACAAGGCACAAAAATTTCTGGAAAGGGAAGCACGTTACCAGTGAGAGAGAAGTCACTGGAGATGAGTACATCCCACAGTCGCTGCTGCTCCTCTATACCAGCAGGTTGTGTTTTGCCAGTGGGTGGTAATTTTGAGATCTTGTTACATTACTATCTTCTCAACTACGCCAAAAAATGTCAGCAATCAGAAGAAACCATGGTTAGTGTGATCATAGCTAATGCTCTTTTAGGCATTCCCAAAATTCTGTGTAAGTCTACGAAGGGAAACTACGGCTTTCCACAAATATATGTAAGAACTCTCCATGCACTGCAAACCAATCAACCCATGGTAAGCAGTCAGACAGGTTTGGAATCAGTATCTAGTAAATACCAATTACTAACTTCAGTTCTTCAGTGTTTAACAAAAATTTTAACCATCGACTTGGTAATCAGTATTACGAGACAACCTCAGAAAGTTTATGATCAAGATTCAGAAGAGGAAGTATAAAATTGGGATTTTTTTCATTAACATAATTTTAATCCAACTCAAGCCGTAAAGTAAGAAACGTGACCACTGATTCTCAAATCAATTTGGTCTAGTTAGGAAAACATCAAAACTTATAAACTCTTTAGAAAAAGTACACCAAGAGGCTAGCAGACACTCAGACACAAATATTAGACAACATTCTGGAACTGTTCTGAGGAGGAAGCCTTCCACAAGGAAGCCAAGATCTGACTGTGTGTCTTTCTTCCCCCTAAATGTCCCTGTGTCTCAGCTCTGTGTTAGTGTTTGTGTATGCAAGAGGGTGTTTCTTTATAGGTCCTTTTTACTTTTCTGTACCTTTGTTCACTCTCTTCATCTGTCCTCCTTGCCCTTCTGTATTTATTTAGTTCATCAAAACAATAATTTGAGATTTGGATGGGGTCTTCAAATGTCATCCCAATTTAATTATTTATAATATTTAACATTTGCTTCGTTTAAAATAATTTATTTTCTCTACTCATAATTTCTAAAGCAATGAGTAAAAAGTCTTGATATTTTTTCTCAAGATGCACGTAAACTAAATTAGTTTTTACTTTTACATATCCCTTATTTAATTTCTGTTTTATGTGGAAAAGCCTGGATATACTTTTTCACCATCCGTACACCACTAAATATGTAACTAGAAATATGACTTTGTGCATTGCAAACTTACTTTCATTTCTGTAGTTAAAAGTCAATTTCAGAAAGCTTATGAAATTCATACTGCCGTTTTCTCCTGTCCCCTCAGAGCTCATGAAAATAATTCATGTATTTGCTGCTTTTTCTTGTATTTGTGCATAGCCAGAGTTCATTTGTAATAAAGAATTTGAAAATTATTTCTAATGTGAATTTCAAGTGTTTATATTTTATTGTAAAAGTTTATAAGTGCAAAAACACTATGCATCTATCCATAGATAAGGACAGTGTCTTCTACTTTTAATAGTTCTCTGTAGCACCCAAAACACCGCTATGTTTATATTCAGAAGTGCCTGTTGAATAAAACTGTTACTTTTAATCCATTCTCCTAAGTACATGTTCCCAACTTACTAAGTCAACAATTCATAATGAGTACTTGCCGTGTGCCAAATGCTGACTCCACTGTGGTAAACAAATAGCTGTAGTTCCTGCCTCCAAACCCCTTTCCTGAAAAGGTAATGGATAGATAGTGACACTATTTTGGATTGAGATTAAATTTAGGAAACCTGATTTAAAATTTTTAATTACAGGGCACCTGGTGGCTCAGTAGGTTAAGTGTCTGACTTTGACTCTGGTCATGATCTCACAGTTGATGGGTTAAAGCCCCTTGTTAGGCTCTGTGCTGACAGCTCAGAGCCTGGAGCCTGCTTCAGATTCTGTGTGTGTGTGTGTGTGTGTGTGTGTGTGTCTCTCTCTCTGCTCCTCCTTTGCTCATGCTCTGTCTCTGTCTCTTAAAAAAAATTAAATGTTTAAAAAAAAATTTTTTAATTTTAATTACAGTAAAACTTGAAAAGGTGATGACTAACAATATATTAAGAAACTAACATCTTGCAGTATCTCATGATCTTTTAAATTAACTGTAATTTCATTTTTATAAGGCTTATGCCATATGATAGCATTCTTTGATTTCTGAAATTATGGAGAGAGTGAATTATTTCTGTTTCTTGTACTGAGTTCATAGATGCATGAACCTACTGTAATATTGCTATATAATTTTTTCCATTCACTTTTTAAATTGCCTGTTAGATCATTTGATAGTTTTACTTTACTTTGTTGTTGCTATTTTAAATACTCCATCATTGGAGGCATTCAAAAACTTTTCTAGACATGCCCAGACATATGCCCTTGCATATGGTAGGCATTTTATAGCTATAAATAGGAGTCCAGAAGCCACTTTGTAAGCTAGACCTGGGTCTTTGTATATTTGGCACCTGGTCTAATATCTGGCAGACAATAGTAGCCAATAAATGTCTGTTGAAGAACTATTTGTTGACTGAATTAATCGTTGGATCCTCATAGATGAGGTCATAATTATTTCTGTCAAAGTTTCATGGGAAAGGATCTGTTTTGGGGGAGAAAGCAAAAAATGTAGAACAGGTCTACACAAAGCAATATTTTCTCTTTTAAATCTCTTCTCAGCTCTTTAAAACAATATATCCCTCAAAAATGGTGACAGAGCTTTCATGGGTCCTCTTTATCATTTACAGAATAACACCAGAGAGTTTATGTCACTGGGTTAGACAAGAGAGCGCTTTTTAAAATGTGATTACATTGTACCTAAACCCTCTTCCACAAAGGATTTG